CCTCAAAGTGGGTGCAGAGCTGAGAAACTGTTTTTGTTATATAGAGAACTAAAACAAAACAGACCAAAATCCCTGCCATCATGAGATAAATGAGACAAGCAAATTATAGAGTATATTAAATAGTGATAAGTGCTAAGAGAAATGAAAAGCAGGGAAGGGGGATAGGGAAGGATTGGGGAGGGTTACAATTTTATATTGGATGTCCAGAAAAGGCCTTCCTTATAAGGTAACAGCTGAGTAAAGACTTGAAGGGAGAGACAGATAACTGGAGGAAGAACACTGAAGGCAGAGGTTAATAGCCAGGGCAAAGATCCTGAGATTGAAGTACTGTATGCTTGACACTGCTGATGAATTAATTGCAAGACTGCCAGTGTGGATAGAGTGGAGTGAGTGAAGAATGATGGGAAATGAGAATTGGTTGGGGGGGGGGGGAAATGATACAGATCAAGCAGAGACTTTGGTTTTTACTTTAGGCAAGAAAGCAAATCCTTAGACGGTTTTAAACACAGAAATTACATGATCTAACTTGTGTTTTAGTAAGATCACTCTGGCTGCTATGTTGAAAACAGACCACTGGGATAAGGGATGCTGAATGACAATAATGGCAATCCTAAGGTTCTTTAGAGCAGCTGTTCTCAACCTGTGGGTTGCCACCCCTTTGGGGGTCGAACGACCCTTTCACAGGGGTCGCCGGGTACTCATATGTGGGTGTATCTGCATGTGGGCCTGGAGACGGATCGAGGAGCAGTGTCTCGGTTCCTAAGACCATCGAAAATAGTTTTCCGATGGTCTTAGGCGACCCCTGTGAAAGGTTGAGAACCGCTGCCTTAAAGGATCTGGTCAAGGTCCCTAACTTCAGTGCTGCTGGGATACTTGGGATTCCTGTAATGCTTGACTCTCCCTAACCAAATAAAAAACTGGGTATCTAAAAATATATGTCTGAATATATAGATAGAAGCAAATATTCAAAGATCTAGGTTCTTAAACATTAATTCCTGAGGTTCAAATTTATTAGCCACACCAAAATAATACCACCATAGACCTGTGCTTCCTTTTCCTACTCTGTTCATTCCTTGAGAGAAAGGCAAAGAATGTAGGTACTTCCAAACTGATACTGAAATAAATCTGACATTCACTTATTCAACCAACATTAGGTATGTGAAAACTTACAATGGACCGGCTGCTGTCTTGAGTGCAAGGGATATAAAGACGAACAAAATATGGCCCCTGTCCTTAGATATTTAGTCTAGTCTAGTGAGTGAGCTATCTAGACATAGATAATGTACTATATAGAAACACAGCAGCACTGGTAGAAACATAACGTGAGCCACAAATGCAAGTCCCATATGTAATTTAAAATTTTCTGGTAATCACATTTTTTAAAAGTAAAAAGAAACAGGTAAAATTACTTGTAATAATATTTTACTTTACCCAATATAACTGAAATATTATTTCAACATGTAAGCAATATAAAAAACTGAGATACTTTATGTTCTTTTTCTATACTCTTTTTGAAATCCTGTATTTTATACTTAAGAATATCTCAATTTGAACTAGTCATGTTTCAATATATTAGACAGCTCAGTTATGCAGAACAGACCAATTTTTCTTTAAAAAAAAAGTGTAAAGAATTTGACATTTACAGGTATAGGACAAAATAAAATAGAGGGAGGCCTGGACATGTTCACAGGTTAAAGGAAAAGAGTAAGAGGGTGAATATACTAGTATAGATAATTGATGGAACTGTGGAGAATGGGATTAGGAGCACAAGTGGTTAGCTTAAAAAGAGGATGATCACACCCTCCTTTGTGACGGATGGGAAGGGAAGAATTAAGTCCAGTTAAAAGCAAGTTTGGTGAGTGTGACTGATGAGAGAACAGAACGTTATTAAGAAAGTTTAAGTTAAGAGCATCCTATTTTTTTCAGTGAATCAGATGACAATCTTACAAGCCCTTCCACCATTGCCAATACAAATCTGAAGGGACTACATTCATGGAACAATTTAAGAAATGGTATCTTAGTATGACAACATGAACTTGTATTTTTGTAAAATCACAGTCATTTTCTAACTTTCTTCTGGACGGGTCACCTATTCAGCAAACATGTACCCAATGTCTACTTTATGTCAAGTACTGTGTGGGGCAGTGAGCACACAGAGATGAAAAAGGCCCTCAATGACCTACATTTGTATCCTCAGCATTTAGCATATTATAATGGCTGCACACAGTAAGTGCTTTAAAAACATAGCATTACATTGCCCTGTAAATATTACATATCAACTAACATATGCATTGACACAGACTTTCATTTAAAAATCTAAAGTAGTGCCGTCCAGTAGAATTTTCTGTGATAATGAAAATGTTCTACCCTGATTTGTCCAAAGTGGTAGCTAATAGTTACATCAATTTTTAATCTAATAAATGAGAATTTTAATTTTCATAGCCACTGTGGTCAATGACTACCACGCAAATCTAAACATTAGAATATAGTGAGTAGCTAATGGCATTCCCACTATTATAATCAAGGTGCTGTAATCTCTAATCGGTTAATACACATAACATGCTGTTAGAAATGGGTACACTATGGTAATACTAATTGTACCAGAAAGAATCATAAGAAAATTTTCTTAGTGTGAAATCACTTTAGCATTGTGAGCCAAAAAGAGAATAAAAGAGAAAAATGAAAGGGTATTCCAGTCTTTTCACTCTATTTCCCCAAGGGAAAACATCAACCTTCTGACAACCTCCTGATTTTTCTCATCATGTCTAATAGTGAAAATACTATGTGGAAATAAGGGAGTCAAATATTTCTTTAATTAGAGAGAAATTACTACAGCATAGAAGTTGTTTCTGTGATAAAAATACAATAAATTTTCTTCGGCAAGACAATAGAAATTGTCAAAAATCAGGATTCATATAATGAATAGTGTGTTTATAATTCCAAAAACCTGTTCTTGTGATTTATTAATTTCCCCAAATTTGTCTCACTTATCTGAATTTTAAAAACGAATCTAATGCTTAAAGACATGGTCACTCAATCCACTGATCAAATGGAAGTAAAATCTAAACTAGACTTTGAGTTAAGTAGTTCCTGGTATAGTAACTAGAACAGCTGCTTATAACTGGGATAGTAAAATATACTTTTATTACTGTATCCACTATCCTTAATGTATAATTTAAGTGACTGTACTAAGTTAATCAGAGACACAAAGTCCTACACTGGCACAGGTCTGATTACATACTTAGAAGATCTGATAACTTAAAAATAAAACCAGTGAGGTGAGGCAGCTAAATGTCAGGATAGCATTTTTTATGCATAGCAACTTGTTCAGCTTGTTAACCACCTGTAAGGCAGTTGTTTTGTAAATTAACCACACAACTTCCTTTCAGTTGTATTCATTTTGAAGCTATTTTTAAAAAACATTACCCATTGTCTCTCTTAAAGATGAGTGGTTACACAACCACGATTTTATTCAGGTTAACAAAATTACCTAACACTAAGAAGCTGGGTCTTAAGGATCTACTAGGAAAAGCTTTAAGAGAACCACTGTAGAATGATATTCCTATCATTCAAAAACACCATCAGATAAATAAGCCTTTTCTATACATAAAGATTGCCAAATCAAAAGCATTTAAGATCGGACCTGTAATAATTAATTTCCAGAGTCAAGTAATTGTGCTATGACTTACTGCAACAAAGTCCAAGTATTACAATATGGTATTATATTGATATCATTAGCTTGGTTTCTTAATAAGGTCTATATCGGGGATGCCTGCATTTACAATCAGCTAAAAACAGATCCAACATTTGTGTGAGGGAGAGGCAGGCAGTTCTAGTTTTATTTATAATATTTTTTTTTAGATTGATGTCCACTGCAAAATGAATTAACTGGATCAGAAATAGCATACCTCTTAGTCTTAACATTAAAATGCTGTTCTAGAGCAGGGAAGAAGAGTTATCAATGCTTTAGTCTCACAAAAATCGTTTTGGTTTCATTGCCTTTTGAATTGGTAAATGAAACCAATGAGTTGTAGAAGCATGTAATTAGTGCGACTTAGAAATTAAGCAGCAACCAGTAACAAACCTCAAAACAGAGACAAGGTTGGGCTTCTTCAGCCAGGAGCAATTGCTGTCCTAATATGTCACTGGTGCCTTAGTGTTGCAGCTGCCAGGAGGCAGGAAAGATTTTTCTCTCTGAATTGTGAGAAAGGAGGCGCTTTTGATACGCCTTAAGTCACCCTCTTCTAAGGTTTCCTTTTTTTCTCCAGATAGTCCATTGGTTCCACACCTGTCTCGCTCAAACTGCCTTCAGAAGAACGGAGAAAAGTAAGGTCTACATTCCAAAAGTTTCACTTGGGGGTAAGTCAGGGCAAGGTAGGAAGGAAAACGCAGTCCCCGTAAGATTTGTCGTACGAAATCTTTTCCGAAACTAGACGGGGTGTTGGGAGTCTTTTCTTTCCCTCACCCAGGCCACGGGTAACATCTCTTTTGTCGAGAGGGGTTAGACGAGATAAGGTCCCCTCCCCCAGGATAATCAACGCGACACCGAATCGTGACGCTCTAATTGAAAAGTGACGAAAGGGGGCTGAAGACAAGTCCTTCCCCCTCCTCTTCACTCAAACGCGTCCCAAATTCCTAGAGGCAGGAAACGCAAGCCTCTTCCCTCTGCCCAAGGCCTACTCTCTTCCCGATCCCTCGCCCTGTTTTCTCCGGGGACGCCAACTCCGCTCCGGACGCCCGCTTCTGGCCGCCGCCGCCGCTCCCCGAGCGGCGAGGAGGAAGGAGTCGCCGAGAAGCGCGGGCAGGAAGCGGCCACCTCCCGCCCCCCGAGCGGCCCGGGCTTGGAGGCGACTCGCGCACCGGGGCTGCGCGGGGCTTTGCCGGCTCCGGGCCCCGCGCCCGCCTCAGCTGCGGCCTAGCCAGGCTCCGCGCCGCCGGCCCTCCCCCGCCACTCAAGCCCGAGAGGCCGCGCGGGAGGGACAGGAGATGGAGGCACCTACCAGCTGCTGCCGGACCCAGCGCCACATGCCCCCGCTGTCGCCGTCCCGGTCCCGCGGGACGCGGGGGCCGAGGGGCTGCAGGTGGAGGCCGATCAGCCAGAGGGGTAAGCGGAAGAGCCCCTCTGGCTGAAGTTCTGCTGGCCGCCGCCGCCACCTCACTCCCTGAGCCGCGTTCCCATCGCGCCGCTTCTGCCCCGAGGTCCTACAGGCGCAGCCACTGCGCCGCCCCCGTCCGGCGCAGCTGAGCCTGCCGCGGCGCCGCAGCCACCTTCATTATTGACCGTTGTCACCCGAAGCACCGCCACAACCCCACCCCCGGCCGGCCCGGCCCCACCCGGGCCCGCCCCTGTCGCCCTGGCCCGCCCCCCGGACGTGACGAAAGGGGCTGCGCGGACCCAGGCTCCCCGCATGCTCGGTCCCCGGCCTGCGCTGGGTTCCGCCGTGTGGGCGGGGACAGGTGCGCGCTTTGCGAAAGCGGGTGTTGCGTTCTGCCTCCTTCCTATTCAGGGGTAGGATTAGGTCTGGGCTGTGTGTCTGCATGTCTGTGGGGTCTGCAGCCGCTGGCCGACTTCTCTGTTTCTACCTCCTGTTGCAGGTCTGTTTCTGCCTCTGCTTTCTTTGGTCCCCCGCACTCCCCAACACACAAAACGCAGCAATCTCGAGAGTAGTGGCTGAAGGTTAACCCCGAGATGCCGCCACTTTTGGTTCAATTAGATCGTCAAAGCCTTTGTCTCAAAGCATAATGCAGCTCTTTTCTTTAGCAAACGACTGAGTTGGGGAACCTTGATCACGTCCTGTAAGTAATTTTGAAAGGGGTTACAACTCCCCTGTGCCTGGTCCAGTTTGGACCAGTATTTATGGAAGAATAGACTAGATATTCTATTTTTGTCATGCCAAATGGAACAGGTTAGGGTGAAAATACTTTGTGGCAAGGTAGTTGTTTACTACTGTTAACTGCCAAACTCCTGCAATCAAAAACACTCTAGAAGTAGCAAGACTTAGGTAAGATAAGGAATGATAAATGGAAGTAAGAGGAGTATAAAAACAGCTGGAACAAGGCTTTGACTTGGGAAACTGAAATGAAGTGTTCAAAAGCAGCCCCATAGACATCTTGAGTGTTACATACATGTATTGTGTGCAATGATTTTGCTGAATTAAAGCACACATCATTCAACACACAGGAGTTTCTGGTGTTTATTTTTCCTTTTTAAGTTATTTTTTCCATCTATAGTTGATATTCAATATTATTTTATATTCGTTTCAGGTGAACGGCATAGTGGTTAAACATTTATATAATTTATGCAGTGATCTCTCCATTAGTCTAGTACCCACCTGGCACTATACATAGTTGTTGCAATATTTTTGGCTATGTTCTCTATGCTGTACTTTACACCCTTGACTATTTTGTAACTACCAATTCGTATTTCTTAATCCCTTTACTTTTTTCACCCAGCTCATCAAACCCCCTCCCTTCTGGCAACCGTCAGTTTGTTCTCTGTATCTATGAGCCTGTTTCTGTTTTGTTGGTTCGTTTATTTTGTTCTTTAGATTTCACATATACATGAGATCATATGGTATTTGTCTTTCTCAGTCTGACTTATTTCACTTAGCTTAATACCCTCTATGTCCATTCATGTTGGACTTCGCAAATGGGAAGGCTTCATTCTTTTTTATGGCTGAGAAATATTCCATTGTGTATATGAACCACATCTTCTTTATCCAACCGTCTGTTGACAGACACTTGGGTTGTTTCCATATCTTGGCTATTGTAAATAGTGCTGCAATGAACAGAGGTGCATATATCTTTCGAATTAGTGTTTTGGATTTCTTCAGATAAATACCTAGAATTGGAATTGCTGGGTCATCAGCTAGTTATATTTTTAATTTTTTGAGGAACCTCCAAACTGTTTTCCATAGTGGGTGCACCAATTTGCAATCCCACCAACAGTGCATGAGGAGTTTGTGGGTTTTTTTTAAAAAAACATTTTATAAAGTGAAAACATCTGAGATTAGTATGACTAGGCAAGTTATTATATATAGAACTATATATAATATGTATATATAGTATATATAATATATAAAAGATATATGTGGTCTTTTAGTTTCAATAGACATTCCTTATTATAAAATGATTATCCAGCACCACAAATAGAGTCTTTCCTTAGGGATATTTATGATCTATAAAACCAGCAGTAGAATTTTATATTATAAATAAACGAACCACAAAAATTAACTAGATATTTAAAGAGAAAAAAATCTTACTTTTGTTCTTGTGACTGAACCCTTGCTTTATGACACTAAAAGAAAGTGAAATATATTTACTTATTTGTTATAGTGATAAAACATTACTACCATTCGTGGAACACTTGTGTGTCCCAGGCCCTGTCCGAAGCTCTGTACTTGCAAGGTCATAAACCCTTTGAAGTTCATATTATTTCCAATTGTACGGATGTGGAAATAAAGGCTCAGGTTAAGGTACTTGGCAAAGCTGGGATTCAGATTCTAGATGGCCATGTGACAGTTCATGCAATCTCTTAAGATATGTAGAGACACAAAAATATGACCATGCCTACTTTTATTCACCTGCAAGAGGTCTGATTAAAATTAGGCCTGGAAATTTATATTTATATGCCACTAAAGTTTGTCAAGACAACATAAGAAATAGAACTCTAAAGGACACTTTGTGAATAATTATTTAACTGTGTCCCAAATTTGAAAAGGTCAAAGTGGGAGGAGGAATTGATTTTAAATGCTATGGTAGACTACGGTAAGAAGTGATCTCAAGATAACTGTAAAGATTGTAATTGTAACCCAAACTGTCAGAAAGAGAATGAGCATTCAAAGCATTGTTTTGTTCTAAAATTTTTTCAAGAGCAATATTATATATATACCTCATCTTAATTCAAGGAGCATAGAGTATTTTTATGCTATAAATTATAACCCTTTAGTGATGAGGAAATCATTTAGTTTATTATGATCAGTATTTTGAATGATAGGATACAAAACATCAGAAATATAGCACAGTGTAAGTAATATGTATTGTTTTGCCACAATATTAAAAGAATTTCTTCCTTTTGGTTGTGGTTGGAAAGGTTTGAAAAGCATTGCTTTAGGAATACACAGGTTTTAAGACAGGCACCAGCTATAAAAGAAAAGAAAAAAATGTATTTGGAGTCAGTGATAATTCATTCACTCCACAGCTATTTCTTAAATGTGTTGATCACCTAGTGTCTGCATAACAACTACCTAAAACTAGGAAGAGACCCACATGCAACTTTTTAGGTGAGCCCCTTCTCTCTGGGTGGAGTTGACAATCTAATTGGAAAGAGAAGTTGCAGAGAGGAATCCGTTAAATAACAACCCAAATCAGTATGGGATTAAGTCCTAAAGAACTATACCGTTAATAGTCATTAACTACAAAAAAAACATTGATATGGGCAATAGCAATTGGGGAGAGTTTAGAAGAAAGGAGCTGAATTTGAAACAGGAGGTTGGGGTTGGGGGAGGAGCTTTCCAGCAGGAAGAACTGCAGGAACAAATACAGAGAGAAGGAAGTTCAAGGTGTTCAAGGTACAACTACTAATTTGGAGTAATAAGAAGTGAAGTTGGGTCAGTAAGGTGAGGCATAGTATTGGGAGAGTTTCTGGCTAGTCACAAGAATTTACAGGAAATGGGCAATCCCTCGAATTTTCTGAACAAGGAAATGACAGGATGAATATGAACGTTATCCCATTGACAATCTATGTGCTAGGTTGGAGAGAGAAGAAAGGTCAGATAGTACTAGAGTGAGGCATTGAGTTCAAAAGTGCTGGACTGGCAAAGAGCCAGGAGTAAAGCATGTTATAGGAAGTTGTGCTCTGGTGATTGACACATCACCATGGTGTCATGGTGACATGGTGAGGAAACTGAAACTTAACCCATTTCAAGTGAGGCTGACCTTCCGAGAGAGTAAGCTTACCAGCATCACATAACAGCCACTGAATTAATGGTAAACATGGTTCTTCTTGTTGAGTAAACTTGTTAATATAATTCTGTACCAGTTATACTTGTGAGATGTGTTCATTCCCAGGAAAACCACATCCTGGGTTGGTGTAATACAGATTCTCAGGTGTAACACAGATGAAACAAAGAGGGATGTTTTTCTTCACTTGGACACCTTGGACCATCAATAGAAAAGAAAGCACAGACTGTGAGCTTGTTAAGGTCAAGTTCCGGGCTCATTCATTTTGGTACCGTTAGTGTCTAAAACGTACTCGATAAATATTTGTTAAATGAATTAGTAATTTAATGTCAATAGCTGAGTAGTTAGGGGGAAATATCTAGTTTAGGAATATTGCAATGATATAAAGCAAAGCATACTGAATGATTTCCAGATCCTAAGCTATACAGTAAGACCAGTGGTCCATCCTTCAGACTTAGGGCACAACTCTTCAAGGGTCGGCTTGGAGGACGCTGAAGCTTGCCTGTCCATTGCCTTAATTATTTCTATAGCCATCAGATGGGCCCTAGACTCTGCTGCATCTCATTTTTGAAAAGGGCAATTTTCCACTTTCTCAGTATCATAAATCTAGTAGATTATAAATTATTCCACTTGAAAAGCAGTTTTCCTGTGATTAATTATCCTTCTAGAATTTACAGACCAGATGTTAGGCAAAGAAAAAACAGACTTCAGGCAAGCTTTTCCAGTACTGACCAGAATTACTTATTTTATCACTTTATGAAGAAATTCATTAGGAATGATATCATGTTCCATCTTTGCACCTTTTCTCAAAAGTTTCTCAGTTATCAGTGGTGGACCGTTATATCAATTCAGTTCTAATTTTTTGCTATTTATGTATACAGAACTGAAACTGAAAACCACTACGAGAGTTAGGATCCATAAAAACAACCTTTTTCTTGAAAAGCCACATATGTAAAGCGTATGTTTTGCACCTTCCTTCTTCCTTATTTTTAAGTTGCCCTTTAATAACTTGATATTATTTTTGCAGTAGTTACAGAGTTCTGTCACTTCTCTTGTAGAAAACAGAAAAAGGAACTTGTATATTTTTTTTACTTAGTTATATTTGTCCTTAGAGAGGAGGAGCTTAAATTGACAAGCAGCCTGTGATTGAATTACTGACAAAGATAAGGCCTCAGAGCAGCTTCAGCAAAACCAAAGCAGCTGTTAATAGTCTCCAATATTTAACCAACTTTTGGTTTCACGTGCTACACAATAGATCAAATTATTTAGCTATCTAGAGGCGTTAGTTTTGTAACACTTTATCTTATGGAGGAAACGAGGAAGTTTCATTGTTTGAGATTAGATATTGTGTGTGTGTGTGTGTGTGTGTG